ATAATCTTTAAGTTTGGGAGTTGGATTAAACAATGGTTGATCCGTCTTCTTCTTTCCTTCAGAAGAATTTGACGATGTTCCTGGTTCTCTACGGTTCCAAATTGTAAACTTGAGAGAATCATTTTCCTTTAATGAATTCTCTATTCTAGAGGCTTGTCAACCTAAGGATTGAAGAAAGGAGTTAGTATAATTATTCTGTTGTATCACAGCAACAATTCCATTTTTTGTAGAGGCTTCATGTCCTCCATCAAGAACTTCCCTGTAAGGAAAGGCAATTGTTCCTTTAGAATTGATCTGGATGGATTTTTCTGGTGGATGTATTGCATTTTCTTCTTTTCATTCTCTTGTATTATAAGTCTTAACTAGATTTTCTAAAGTGCGTATAGATTGAGTGTATTCAGGAAAGTTGTACTTCTTGGCACACCATTCATACCAAGGGAAAAATCTTGTACTAATCCCTTTTTCTACCATGAAAGTATAGTGAAGTCTCTTCAAGGAAGCTCTTCTTTCTAAGCTGTAGGATTTTTCTAGCCATTCTCTTTTTAGAGCATTTTCATCACTAAGATAATTTTTCTCAATGAAGTCTCTATCAAGTTCAAATTTTTTAATTACACAGATGTTAGATTCAACATCGTTCCATGTAAATTCTAGATGTAGGGGTAGATTCCTAGAGTTCCTAGAAGAAGTTGTGGCTCCAGTATTCTCAACCTTATAGAAATGGTAATACACTTGCTCTTGGGTCTTTTTAAGGTCTTCTAGGATAGTCCTTTCATGGTCTTACTCATACAAGCTTGTTTCAGGTGTTGACTTCCTAAAGGAAATTGTTTTGCAAAGGTTTTACCTAAGGGAATCAACACTTCTCCGAGGACCTAAGCTTAGCCTTGTTAACATGTCATTGTTAAAATGTATTTCTACATCTCCATCATCATATTGGTTAATACGGCTACGTTCTCGTTTTTGGATAGGCTGAGAAGGAATTGCGTCCTGCAATTTCCATCTTTCAGGTAGAGTAACTTTATTCCACCTAATCATTTTTACCACTGTATGTCCCTTTCCTAAATTAGCTTGGAACAAAATAGTTTATCCCTTACTATCCATGACTTTGGCTCGAGATGCAATGGTATTCACAACCTTATATGAAATTCGATAAATCACAATGAGATTATGTGATCCAGGGTCCATATCATACCCTTAGGTATCTATACTTAAGGTAAGGGTCTTTAAGACTCCGGGGTCAGATAACGACACTAAAAAGTTCGAGTAACAATTAAAGTAAATTGGCCCCTCAGTTAAAGACAACTCTACTAATCCCAACATGGCATTAACAAAGTTTTTGTGACGTTTATCCCTTAAACAGAGTAGAATTGAGGTATCTAACCTTGTTCTAGTTAACAGTTTCACCGTAACCTGTATTAGACCTATATGCAAATAGTTGTAACCCTTTTGCATATGTTGATCTATTTGGTGTTGAGAGAGTAGTTGAAAGTTTGCACTAGCAACAGTGACGGAAATGGTTTTTTCAACCGTTTTTATTGAATAATCTGACTTAAATTCAAATGTTCCTTTCTGATAAATATCACAAGTTGGGACTTTGGGAATATTCCAGTTTTCTAAATCTTTTTCTATATTCAAGATGGTTACTTCTTCAACATTTTTAACCCTCATTATTCTTGAGCTATTACTGCTATTAGAACCACTACTGCTACCTACAATTCTCTTACTTAAGAATCTAAGTAAACTAGCCATTAGAAGAGAGTTTCTCTACTTCTCTGTTCCCTAAGTGATATGTTGACAAACTTACTACCTACTCCTCACACGCCTCACTACGGCTTCACATGGTGATCCGGCCCGCTGACGACTTCACCCCACCTTAGTCAGAAGTTCTTGCAGAGTCTCTTGATCTAATGATAAGGATTAACTAGAAACTTAAATAAGATCCCTATAACTAGCGAGTTTTGGCTTTGATACCAAAATGGCCCAGAAACATCAAAGTAATTAAAAATGTTTAATCTTGTTTTAATTTATTATTAAATCTATAAACAGGCAACGAATATACATATAGAGATAACAATACAATAATTATAAATTGAAATAAACAGAGATAAAGTAAAGGATAAGTAAATACGACGAAAAAAATTTCACTTTGTAAACTATATTATTGAGTCTGAGTGTTTGAGTGATGTCTCTCATTCCAACTTTGGTGCTATCTTGTAACATTGAAGTTGAAGATTAATAAATTAATGTGAGTTTGCTTCTGTGCTTTATGCCTATTTATAGAATTTAGATCTACTCTCGAACCAATGAGTGTTTCGATTGAAAACTTGAAAGTTTTGTTAATAACAAAGGTAATTATAGAATACCACTTTTGAGAAATTACCTTGTCGATGCTACTAACCTACTAACATACTTCAGGGTTGAGACACTGCTATTCGGATCGGCAAGCTGAAATACTGGTTCATCGTCTAGTGGCTTGTCTTTCTTCTTTTTTGCGAAGTCATCCATCAGATGTTAAAACTCGCTTTCAGTTTCAGTCTTGTTGCCTATACTCTGAACCTTTTCTTCAGGCCAGAAATGATAGAGTTCAAGGATTTGAACTCTATGATTTAATCCATTAATTTACTCTTTTGTAGTATTAATTTCATACTGCATTTCAGCCAACGTAGATTCTCTCTTAGCTGTTGTTTTAGCTATTCTATCAACAATTGTCTTGAAGCTATAAGCTTCAATTGGTTGTCTTTCACTTGGCTCAGGCCTTTTCTTCTCTTTTGCTAGATCTAAATATTTTTCTATAACTTCTCTTTTTTCTAAAGGATCTTCTAGCCTATCTATTAAATCTAGAATCAGACTTTCTTCTTTGGTGATGACACATTGATTTAATTTGCATATATATATATATATATATATATATATATATATATTGAAGGGAGCATCATAAGTTTCTTTTAATATTCCTCGCATTTAGTGCAATCAAAATTGACATGCATGTGCATTATTTGCTATATTTGGGAGGAATTATCATTGCATTATGTATTTCAATATGGTAAATCTATACAAATTCATGGAAAAAGTTGATCTAGATGAGTGGACTTAGCCTCATATTGGGCCAGTTATAACAACGTGGTTCAAATTCTCATTTTGCGAGAATCGAACTTAGACCTCTCAGTTACAAGTAGAGAGGAATACCACTAGACCGTAGTACTAAATGACAACTAGACCAAGTTTTGAACAAGTTCTTTTTTCAAAGGGAAGAACCAAATTAAGGATCGATGAAGCATTGGATTCTTTCTTTTTTACAAGTACATGTGTGCAACTGCAAACGGTTCGTAAAAAGAAAATAACTTTGAGTAAGTTATATCATCATTTAAATTTTATGAGGAAAATGTTTTCAATTTGTTATTGACGAGAATCAAATCTAGCACCTCACACTTATATATGAATAGAAATACTACTTATAACATCCTACATCGCTCAGGGGTGTGGATCCTGTAAGCCTTATATGTATATTCCCATCTCTACCTAGCACGAGACCTTTTGGGAGCTCATTGACTTCGGATTCCATCGAAACTCCGAAGTTAAGCGAGTTTGGGCTAGAGCAATCCCAGGATGGTTGACCCCCTGGGAAATTGCTTGTGAATTCCCAAAATCAAAACCGTGAGGGCATAGTCGGGGCCCAAAGTGGACAATATAGTGCTACGGTGGAGTCAAGCCCTGGATGTGGTAGGGGCTCGGGCTGGGATGTGACAATTTGGTATCAGAGCCACTCTGCTGTGAGGTGTGAGTGTGCAGATGAGGACGTCGGGCCCCTAAGGAGGGTGGATTATAACATCCCACATCACCCAGGGGTGTAGATCTTGTAAGCCTTATATGTATATTCCCATCTCTACCTAGCACAAGGCCTTTTGGGAGCTTATTGGTTTTGGATTCCATCGAAACTCTGAAGTTAAGCGAGTTTGGGCTAGAGCAATCCCAGGATGGTTGACTCCCTAGGAAGTTGCTCGTGAGTTCCCAAAAACAAAACCGTGAGGGCGTGGTCGGGGCCCAAAGTGGACAATATCATGCTAAGGTGGAGTCAAGCTCAGGATGTGGTGGGGGCCTAGGCTGGGATGTGAGACTACTCCACCATAGTATTAACTGTTAAGTGGCAAGTGACACTTACAATTTTTTACTGAAGTTCGAATCCTCCCCATATAAATTAAGAGCTCATTTAGAAGTGCTTAAAATAATTGAAAGCATTTTTTTTTTTTTTTTGAAAGTGCATTTTGGACGCTTGAGGATATGTGGAGGTTTTCAATTCGTCAGTACCTTTGATAGATTTTGCCTACAGTAACAATTATCACTCGAGTATTGGTATGTCACTATTCGAGGTTTTGTATGGAAAACCATGCCAAATACCATTGTGTTAGATCAGAGGTCGGAGAGAGAACTTTAGAAGGTCCATAGTTGAAGGACAAGACGACACAAAACATACAAGTGATCAAGAGAAAATAGAAAGTTGTACATGATCGACAGAAGAGCATTGCAAACAAACATTTAGCCGATCAAGTGTACATTGTGCGAGATTGGATGTTCTTGAAGCTATCACCGTGGAAAGGTGTTGTTCGTTTCAAAAGAGAAAAAGCTAGAAAGAAAGAAAAGCTAAGTCCCCACTACATTGGTCTGTGTCAGATCATCAAACGAGTTAAAGGGATTCATCACACACCTGAGCACATTTATACACATCAATTACATGTTATAACTTCATTACCTTCTAGGTACAACCAACATACCTCAGTTTCGATGACCACAGGGATATCAGGGTCGGAGTATGCCAGCTAACTTGCATTTTACTAAAGATTTTTTCTTAAAACATTTTCATCAAAAATGTTTTCATAATTTTAAAAACACTTTCAACCATAGCCTAAACAAGTTTTAAATTTCGCTGTCCAGAAAAGAAACTGGCCTACCCAATCAAACCGAATCAGGATTGGACTGGTTCGGCTTACTTCAATTGTGACCATTCTTGTGCAAAACCAAATGGAACAAAGCCGTTTAACGGTTCGGGTTTCGGAGGAACGGCCGAGTTATGCCCACACACGCTACACCCCTAATTTCTGCACCGGAGCCGGAAGAAATATTAAAATGGCAAACCCGACGGGCACTTGCCTTTCCTAAACCTAATTCCCTTTTGTACTTTCCCACTCACCTTAATGCTCTCTCGCAGTAGAACCAAACATGGAGGACCTCTCATCCATTCGTCACTTCTCTTCAAATTCGTCACACATTTTTCTCCATTTTCTTCCAAACCCAATTCAAATTTCGCAACCCAGAATCAAATCGCTACAATCCCAAAAAAATTCACCACAAGAAGATCAATTCCACTCCCTGCAACAGTCCCACAAGCTCCAGACGCAGTAAGTTCTTCAATTGTCAGCTCAGTATGTTCTTTGCTCTCTAAAGATACCAAAGAAACCACAAGTATTGATATTTTGTTGAAAAAATTTAGAAAAAAGTTGAGTTCTGAACTTGTGCTGCAAATTTTGATGAATTATAAGCAATTGGGTAGGAGCAAGACATTGGATTTCTTCTCTTGGGCTGGATTTCAGATGGGTTTTCGGTTCGATGACTGTGTGGTTGAGTACATGGCTGATTTCTTAGGTAGGAGGAAGCTTTTTGATGATATGAAGTGTCTTCTGTTGACTGTGTCCTCCCATAAGGGTCGAGTTTCGTGTCGAGCTGTGTCCACTTGCATTAGGTTTCTGGGTAGGCAGGGGAGGATTAAAGAAGCCCTTTGTATGTTTGAAGAAATGGAATCAAAATTTGGTTGTAAACCTGATAATCTTGTGTACAATAATGTGCTCTACGTGCTTTGTAAGAAGGAATCGTCTGGCCATTTAATTGACTTTGCGCTTGCAGTTTTTCGGACAATTGAATCGCCTGATACTTATTCGTATAGTAATATTCTTGTTGGTTTATGTAAGTTTTGTAGATTTGAGACTGCCATTGAAGTTTTTGGTGATATGTGTAAGTCTGGTTTGGTTCCTACTCGGTCTGCAGTGAATGCTTTTATTGGAGAGTTGTGTTCATTCAGTGTGAAAGAAGGAGCTGTTAGGAAAGTAAGAGTGAGAAATTATTGTAGAACCTTTACGATTTTAGTTCCAAAAGTGGGTGGAAACAGTGATGCTATACAGCCTGCAGTTAGAGTTTTTTGGGCAGTGTATAAAGTGGGATTATTACCCAGTACATTTGCCATAATCCGGCTTCTTTCGGGGCTTTGTCAACTGGGAAAAGTGGAAGAGGCTGTTGAGATTTTGAAGGCTGTTGAGGGTAAGAAGCTGAGCTGTGTCGAAGAGGGCTACTGTATTGTGATGAAGGCTTTGTGTGAACACGGTCACGTTGAGGAAACTAGCCATATGTTTGGGAGGATGCTGTCCCAAGGCATGAAACCAAAGTTGGCTGTTTATAATTCAATTATATGCATGCTGTGTAAACTAGGGAATTTGGATGATGCCGGAAGTGTCTTTAAGATGATGAACAAGAATAGATGTCTTCCGGATAGTATGACGTATTCTGCGTTAATCCATGCTTTTGGTGAAGCTAAAAATTGGGAAGCTTCTTATGGCTTATTGATAGAAATGCTTGGGTTGGGCTACTCTCCACATTTTCATACTTATAGATTAGTGGACAAAATTTTGAGGGAAAACGGGCAGATGGATATGTGTCTTAAGTTGGAAAGGAAGTTGGAAACACAGACGTTGCAGAAGCTCTGTAAAGATAACCAGTTAGAGGCTTCATATGAGAAGCTAAAATCAATGATTGGAAAGGGGTTTCACCCACCAGCATACGTGAGAGATTCTTTTGAGACTGCGTTCCGGAGGTATGGAAAATTGGAAATAGCTCATGAATTGCTGCGGACGACAAGTGAAACTGACAGAACTTAGCTGTTAATGACCTATTAAGAAGTATTTTCCTCCATCACCTGTAGAGTTGTGAGTTCTAACCAATTTCCTTTTACATTCTGGCCATATATTTTTGCTAATTATCCGATGATAATTTAATTATTTATATATCTCTTTTATAGTTCCTTACATCTGTCTCTGTATACTTTGATTACTTTCCTGAAATGCTGAGTTTCATTCGAAGGTATGCCACCATATTAGATTCTTGGCTTTTTTGCTGACTAGAGGCTAGAGCTATAAATTAAGAGTGCTCGCGCGCTCGTTTGAAACTTGTTCCTTTCTTAAATAAATAAGCGAACCAGATAAGAAGGGTTGACTAAAGAGTAAAGATTGAAATATATGAAATCCCAAGGAGTACCGGAAAGAAGAGAAATTGAAACCGAGGAATACTGTTAACATCTTGTTAACATTTAGTAATTACTCTCTTGATCTAAAATTCTCATCAGCTTTTCTTACCTTGACACAAACTAACAAACTTTCTTTGCCTGATTTATTATATCTCAACGCCGAGTTTTATAAATGGCACACTTCATCTGTAGCAGTGCAATTTCTTTATATGCTAATAGTCTTTTAGAATCCCATGGTAGTCAGGGAGGATAGGGCTCTGCTCCACCCATGATGCCAATGATGGCTCTACCTGGTGCGCCTGGCATTCTTGGCCAAGTAAATGATCCGATGAAGTAAATAGGATCCTATCCGGATCCTATCTGTGGGGATTCAAAGGATCAATCAATCATATCCGTTCATCGTACATCGTGCAGTTAAAAATTATTTTAATTTTTTTTATTTAAAATTAAATATAAACAGTACTTGACAAAAATTGACCGTACAATGTACGACAAATGAACACGAATGATTCATCCTCCGGATCCCCACAAAAAGGATCCGGAGAGGATCATTGTCCTCGATGAGGCCTACTCTCACCATGAATCCTCCAACAACAGTAGGCCTGGTAATTCTTGACACGACCCAATAACCCAACACGACACGACACGAAATTAACAGGTGTTCGGGTCAACATGATAACGAATCGGGTCATTATCGGGTAACCCGATGAGCACCTGTTAAGACTTTTCTCTATCATGTTGCACAAATGAGACATGGTGCTCATATTACATAAGTGAGTTTGCAAATTCGGCTACTTCGTCGTTCATTTCTGCTTCCCCAGCTACAACATTTGCTTTGTATTGTGTCATCTGCATTGTCAAGCTACGCCTTCTTTTATCACCCATTGATGAGATATTGATAATTTTGAGGAAATAAAAACATTATCAAAGTTGGATGATTTTGAGAAAACAGAAACACTATGAAAGAAGGATGATTGGTGAATATGTTGTGTGATGGTTAGGTATTCAACCTATGCATATATAGAGGATGATTGAAGGTTTGTGTTTCTATGTGTGTAGGTTTGTGTGTTTTGTATGTATTTGGCATGTTTTTCATATGTTTGGTGTGTTATACTTCTCTATCATGTGTTTTGTATGTGTTTCATGTGTTTCATCTGTGTTTTGTGTGTTTCATATGTGTTTCATATATATGTTTGTGTTTATACATCTCTATCATGTGTTTCATGACTTTCATGTGTCGGTTTAGTGAATTTTCAATGTTTATCAGAATTCAATATTTTTAGGGTAAAATGTTCATAAAATTAATTTATGATAGTCTACATAATTTTTTATAAATAACTTATTTTTGTTTTTAGAAAGGATAAATTATTTAATATTTTTAGGGTAAAATGGTCATACAATTAATTAGGATAGTCTATATAATTTTCTTTTTAAAATAAGTTATTTTAATAAAAATTAGCATAAATTCATTCTTTAATAATCTGGGACTAAAAATTTAACTAAAAGAGTTGGAGTAGAAAAGCTGTTTATGGGTTAAAACCTAAATTTTATGGGCTAAAACTCTTAGGTTTTATATCCAAGGGTTGGGGATGATCTAATGTTTCCCAAGAAAATTTTGTGAAATTCCATGTCTGGATTTCACTATTTGATTTCCATAATTTGAATTTTTGCCTTTATTTTATTTGTGAATTTAAGAGGTTTTGGCTAGTTATTTAAGTTTGAATTTTTGTCACTAGCCATTAAAAACCCATAGATATTGCAAGGTCATACTTAGTAGTTTTTGTTAGAGCTCGATCTCACGAATGCGTAGGCGAAAACCATTCGCAAATCAGAATTGTAATGAAAGAGAAATAAGCGAGCAGAGTCGGGTGCAATTTAGTCATTTAGACATTCTATAAATAGAAGACCCCAAGATTTTGTAGCAGCCTTCCATTTGTAGAACTGGACCCGTATGACCCGGATTTCCTCGCTCAACCCATGAAACAACCCGTTTTATGGGCAAGAATTCTGACGGCTTTTCCAGTTGACTCCGGCGACTTCAGACGTTGCCACCACATGGAAAAGATTCCCCTCCTCCCAAGTTCATTTTCCACCCATGATTCTCTCCGTTCGTCATTTGGACCTTTATTTATGGAGAATTTCAATGTACGACCTCCCTGCAATGCATTCTTAGAGAGAGGTCTTAGGGGAGAATCGTGGACAGTAGGTTTGGAAGAGAGGAGATGAAAAGTTCTTCCTCAAGGATTGGCATCATTTTGTGAAGGATCATCTCTTGGAAATATGAACTTTCTTCGTTTTTGAGTATAATGGCGACTGAAAGTTTGATGTCACCATCTGTCATCCATGTGAAATGTCCCACATCAGTGGGTTCAAAAAAATCCAATGGATTTAAATAGAATTACCCTACTCTAATTAATACTGAGATCTTTTGTGGTAAAACCCCACACCTGACAGATTAGGTAGGTGGTAAAGTTGGGGATAGTATCAGTGTCGTTAGAGTGGGGCGGGCCTGATGATCCAAAAATCTAACATGGTATCAGAACCAAGATTTGGGCCCGTGCAAGCTAAAGGCTTGTCACCAGGAAGGGCTTGGAAACAAACTTGGACTCTTAACATAGAGTCGGCCTCTGAGTTCCTAAAAAGGCATTTCCTAGAAAAGAATGAAAACAAGTTTTGGACTCCATTAGAGCCGACCTCTGAGTTTTAATGACCGATGTGGATCTTCATGTGTAAACCACTAAATGAGGTTCAAAGAAACCAAATGAGTTTAAATAGAATTACCCTACTTTAACTAATACCGATGCATTTTGTGGTAAAACCTCACATTTGACGGATTGGGTATGTAGTAAACTTGAGAACAATATCGATGTCATTAGAATGGGATGGGGCCGATGATCCAAAAATCCAACAATCCAACTAGCTGTGAAAAAGAGCTAAGAAGCAGTAGCTGGCAAGAGGAGAACTGGAAATGAAGGGATACACAAATCTCAAGAAATCAGTCACATAACAGATCAAGTTAGTTACCATTTCGAACATTCACAATCAGAAGAACCTTCCCACTGTATTCACTCAGATTGGCCGGCGTGTGGCAAAGCGTGGGTGGTCAGAAAATTATTTTTAAAATATGGGGATTTTTGTGAGGTTGAGTAGATCACGTTGGTATATTCAAACACCCTATTTGAGCATTGTATGAGAAGTTATTACCTAGTTTTGGTTATGTGCTTTAAATTGACGTTTTTATAGTTGTTTCGCATATAGGTGAGACCTATCCTGAAAACGAGTGCAATCACTCAAGGCTCGGGGGTTACTACCCTTCCACATACCAATAAGTGGGCTTTTGGTTGTCCGTATATACCTATATACTTGAGAATTTTTCCCAGAAAATGAAATTGAATGTTTATATGTTTTAAAATGCCATGCAAAGTGTCTGCCTATTTATTTATGCATTAGTAGTTGCATATATGTATGTTTGGTGCTACGGACGCACAGGTAAGTGCTAGGTAAGTTATAGTTTATGGTTGTGAATTAGTGGTTATGTGAGATGCATTGAGAGCTCATAAACCTGCACCCTGGTGTTAGTGCTCCCGCCAAAAGTTAGGGCACAATCCTTCACGTAATGTTCACCTCCTGCACCACACGCTCATCTTGGATCCAATTTAGGTGCACAGTCCTGTCGTACAGACCACTATAGGTGGTTCCGACTCGTAGGTAACCCGCGATTATTTACACAGTCTTCACGTGATCGTAGCACTTGAGCGTATTTATTTACACCCAATCCTATCGTATAGACCACTTTAGGTGGTTCTGACTCGTGTGCAGGTATAGTTGTTGAGATGTGGATTCAAGCTCTAGATTCAGCCGTACAGATCACATTTGGTAACTCCGGCTGACATAACATTTGCATTGATTGATATCACCTGGTTTACTTATAATTTATGTTGAGAAATTTGTCATGGCATAATTATGAATGTTGTTATTTTGAGCATGATTTCGATATATTCATATATTATATTTTCTGGGAAATTATACAGGTTTTACGGAGAGGGGTTAGAATTTTTGAGAATGAAATGATTTTGAAAAGCTTTGTTTTTGCCCAAAACCATAATTGGTGGGATTAAAAATATTAAAATATAAATATAATATCTTGTGTGTGTGTGTGTGTGTGTGTGTGTGTGTGTGTGTGTGTAAACATGGGTACATTCATCAAAATTAACCAAAAAAATTATTGTATCAAAACATGGGTACATTCTTCAAAATCACAAAAAAAAAAAATGATATTAGGCTTAATAACATTAGTAAATTTCTTCGATTAAACTTGACATGGATACATTTTAAAATCAAAGAAAAAAGAATGTACCCATATATGTTTAAAAATGGATTAAAAAAAATTGAATAGATTTTATATATAAAAAAAAAGGTACATTTTACATATAACAAATTGGTATATTTAAGAATGAGTACATCTTAAGATTAAAAAGTTTTACATGAATGCGTACATATAATTAGCATGGGTATATTTAGCAAAAAAAATAATAATAATAATATACCAAAAATAAAAATATGGGTACAAATACAAATAAACTTTAAAAAATATGGGCACAAAAAGAAATTAATATATGGTACAAATTAAAACTGAAAAGAAAATTGGTACAAATTGAAAAAGAATTATAAATTAAAATGGGTACAAACTAAAACTAAAATTATATGACAAAAAATTTAGTCATAAATATAAATATACTAATTGTAACATTTTTAACATTAAATGAATATATTTAGAAATAA